AACCACAAGGTGGATTTTAGCACAGTTTTGCTTTTTATTTTATTTTGATAAGTACATCTTTATGCTTAGTTAGAATAAAACCTGAGCTAAGTTTCTGCCTTTCTTTTCCTCTGAAAAATCCACCAATTCCTCATCTTTTCTCAATGTAGACACATTACGAAAAACACTGGTAAAAAACACAGTAGAAACATGCTCTCTCGTGCTCGTGATGAGTTAGACTTCTTTCTGATGAACCTACAGCATTATTGGGGGCACATGTGGGCTCTAAATGCAAAGGGAGCTGGTAGAAACAGTTTAACTTAAAATGCCACTTCTCATTCCCAGAGCATATTTTGAAATATCCAAACTTTCTCCTCTTCTTCCTCTTCCTCCCTCCTCCTTTTCTTCTTCTTCTTCTTCTTCTTCTTCTTCTTCTTCTTCTTCTTCTTCTTCTTCTTCTTCTTCTTCTTCTTCTTCTTCTTCTTCTTCTTCTTCTTCCTCCTCCTCCTCCTCCTCTTCTTCTTCTTCTTCTTCTTCTTCTTCTTCTTCTTCTTCTTCTTCTTCTTCTTCTTCTTCTTCTTCTTCTTCTTCTTCTTCTTCTTCTTCTACAAAATGCTACACAGGAAAAGAACCAACTTCATAAAGAGGTAATTTGTGGACTTCTTGGATTAAATTTTTATACATTTTTACATAAATCATTATTACATCACCTTTTCCCTTCACTTTCCTCTCTCCAGCTACTCCCAAGTACATTCCCTCCAACTCCTTCCATGCAACCTCATTCTCAAATTGTTAGCCTCTTTTTTTGTTTGCTTGTTTGTTTGTTTTGGTTTTTGAGACAGGTTTCTCTGTGTAGCCTTGGCTGTCCTGGAACTCACTTTGTAGACCAGGCTGGCTTTGAACTCACAGAGATCCACCTGAGTATACCTTCTAAGTGCTGCAATTAAAGTCATGATATCCCCTTTTTCTTTGATTATTGTTTCATATGTATATTCCAGCCTATGTATCTGCACATGTATGTGTGTGTATAATATGCACAACTGCATAAATACAACTTGATGAACACCCCGTTCCTGGTGTGTGTGTGTGTGTGTGTGTGTGTGTGTGTGTGTGTGTGTGTGAATGTGTGTATGGTTTCAGGGCTGACCATTTTGTACTAGATAACCAATTATGGACTCATCTCTGGGAGAGGCTAATTCTTCCTCTCTCAGGAGTCATTAGTTATTATATCACAGTACAGATTAAAGAAGTGATTGCTCATTCTCTTGTTACTAATTTATTGGACATTATGCATTTCTTTGCTATTTTTAATGGTTGTTTAAAGCTCTTTTCAATTAGCAGAATAAAAACGCCCAATGGGACAGCGAGTGATTCAGACCATCGACAGAGCATGTACTATGAACTGAGATGGAGCAAGACCCTATGCTCTACCTCTTAAGCCAGAGAGGGAAAAACCAAACATTTAAACACACAGGAAAGAAAGTAAAATAGCATTCATTTTGAATTGAGTTCATCTTAATGTTTACTTTCAAATAGGATAAATAGCATATTTTGTGTATTTGTGTAATTTCTTAGTATTTTATGTGCATGCTAAAATACTAGGAAAAGTATATGATAACTGTGTTGGTTTGACTGAAAATGATTCCCATAGGTTCATATATTGGCATGATAGTCCCGAATTGGTAAGGTGTTAGGGAAGAATTAAGAGATCTGGCCTTGCTAGAGGTGGTGTGTCACCAGGAGTGAGCTTGGAGGTTTCAAGCTCACTCCTAGTGATACTCCAGGCCCAGTGGCTCTCTCCTCTCACTGCCCACTGCCAGTGGATCAGGATATAAAGCTCTCTGTTGCTGTTTCAGGACCATGCCATCCTTTGTGTTGCCATACTCCCTGCCATGATGATCAGGGACTAACCCTTTGAAACTGCAAGTAAGACCCTGATTAAATGCTTTATGTTGTAAGAGGTGCCTTAGCCAAGGCACCTTCTAGTTGTTGTAGAACAAAAGATTTAGAATGTAAAAGCCTTCGATCTATACACAGGGCATCATGCATTATTATTTTTGCATTAGACCCCAGGAAAAGTTGTAAAAGATATATGAATGTCATACAATGATTGAAAGGAAACTTTAAGACTGGGTCTTCATTTAAGGAGAAACGGGAAAGCAGATTCTCAAATGAAGCACTCTAAGTTCTGAAGATTTTGGGAGTCTGAATGATGCCACAAGTATGAAACCCCACATCTGATTTCATATTGTAGTCAAAGTTGAAGCATATTTAAAATTTGCGTTACACTAGACGTGTAGGAACGGCAACATAATCTCACTTAGACTTGGGTTCTACCCTCTAAGTATCTTATTATCTTTATGAAATTGTTCCAAAATACCTTTGGACCCAAATTCCTTAAATAAGTGCAACTCAACTAAGAAATACAGAAATCTGCTCTTTCAGATCTTCCATTTTAAGTGTGCTTTTTCCCCCCTCATGGGTCTTTTAATTTGCAATTCTCATAGCACTTGGGGAGAAAAATTAGTTTGTTGAAGGAACTTTACCCAAAAAAACCCCACCAAACAAACAAATAAATAAGATACAAGAGGGGAAATAAACAAATGAACAGCAACAAAACTCCCTGTACATACACAAATGTATTTAATAACTGCTATGTCGTCAGCTCATGATTTCCAATATTTAAAAGCTAAGATGTTAAGGATGCAGCCAGTAAAAACTAAAGCTTCATAAACCTCTAGACTTGTTATTAAAGTCAACTTGTTTTCTAAAGATGCACTTGAAATCAATGAATTTTCAGCTGTTTCAATTATACAAAGACAAATTTCCAATCTGGCTCTCTAGGGAGCTGAGGGAGAAGCACAAGTAGGTTTCAGGTTTTCTAAAAACAAAACAAACAAACAAAATACCATCCATCTGCTGAGCCAGCCTAAGGACTGGCTGGGTGCAAATCACCACAGCTTCTTCTAGGAGACCAGCCCCCATTCCCCGATATGCTCCCCACTCCCAGAAAAAAATGCTTTTGTGTCCCAGGTTTTAGTGACAGCAAGATAAGTCACATCCAGGTGCCTCCCTGTGGTTATCAGAGTATGTTCTTCACCTGCATCCTACTTCAGTGAGGTTGTTGTGAGGATCACAACACTTGGCAAGCATCAGGTACTGTTAGTTGTTGTATAGGGCTTCCTAAACGAATGAATTCAATCACGAGTGAAATACATTGTCGTGTGAGATGGAGAGGACCACTGGTTTCATTTCCATGGTTCATCACAACCTCAGGATGTGAAGGGGCTGCTATAGTTCATGGAAAACATCGATAGACTTATCTGTTGCCCCTTCTGCAACCTTTTTCTTCATTTACTAGAGTTGTCAATGGTCTAAGACTTTCTGCAGGTCTTCCCCCATATATTAAAATATTTATTTGTCAGTGTCTATCTTTTTGTTGCTTTCACTCATCCATGATGGTCATGAGTTTGTTTTATGTGTACAAAAACCAGCACTTTTTCACAGTCATTGATTATGAACATCTTCAAGTTAGGTTAAAAATAAATAAAAGAACTTCTGCCTATACTTCCTCCTTCTCAAAAGAATGAACAGAAATGAACTTCCAACAATGAATGCCCCTGGCTTTTTCTTTGAGAGCAATTTGCGATATTGTGTGTATTCTTACTATAATTTCAGAGGTAGATTTTTCTTTGGAACACTGTTGCTAAATTAGAAATAAAATATTCGTAGGAAAAAAATTAAAGAACAGGACACTAACCTACAAGGTAAACAAAAGTCAAAAATACCGTTAATGCCTGAATGGGTTGGGGAAGCTCCAAGTATGGAGCAAAGGTACTACAAAGATCTCTCACAGGCTGGCCTTCAACTCCGGAGTGCTGAGAAAGTTATGAAACACCACCTAGCCTTCACCATTTCTTAATTTATAACCAAGAGCCTACTAGGAGGACAGCAGTGAGGTTTAGAGCCTTGTTCTGAAGTCAGCCTCTCTGCAGGAGATTGGTCAGTGTTTTATTCCTGGCTTTGGTGGTGTGATTTTAGGTACTTGTGCTGAATCCTGTGGGAATTTAAGTCTACAGAACTCCTGGCTCTGTTCTGTTGGTGGGCAGGGGAGACAGACCTTTTTATAGAATCCATGGACTCTAGTATCTTAACTAAGTAGGATTAGGTTTCACTCCCAGACTTCTCTCAATTTATATCTCTCTGTACAACTTCATATTTGCCTTTATTCTAGAAATACCTCATTATTATTAAAAGGCCATGCATTGCCCTCACCTTCCCCTCTCCAATAAATGTCCCAGTGAAGATTCCCAGGCCACTTTGAATTAGATCCTTAAGCCAATTTTCTCAGTGTCTCTGGTCTTGGAGCTCCTGGGGGAACATTTTTCTCTACTGTGACCCTAGCCAATTTTTCCTATAAGAATCCAGCAGGGGCGCCCTGCACGGGGTGTGGGGGGGGGGATCTCCTGGACCCGGAGCTGAGTGACAGAACCCTTACTGAGCTGCTTCTGAGCATCTGAGCATCATGCCCATGGTCCCTTCAGGTCTTCCTTCTCTGTCTGCATCCATTGCCCTGACCTTGCCCCAGCGCTGTGTAGAGCACTTTCACTCTGAGCTTCAAGTCTCAGGGCCCTCCCCTGCCCCCTTTACACAAAACTGAACCTGTGCCTCCCCAATACCGATTGGCTAAACCTAGCTCCCTGTTTTCCAACCTACTCTACACACCGAGAGGGAAAGTCAAAAGCCTGTCACTCAGCAATTGCTCCGGGCATCAGGGACGCAAATCCCTGGGGGCTTCCCAGATTCTTGCTCATTCATATTCATTCTCATTCTCTCACAGTCTCTTTCTCTCTCCCTTGATTCCTAATAAAACAAGGCAATCCTCCCCAGTGACGGCCTCTTACACACACACACACACACACACACACACACACACACACACACACACACACACACACACACACACACACTAGAGAGAGAGAGAGAGAGAGAGAGAGAGAGAGAGAGAGAGAGAGAGAGAGAGAGAGAGAGAGAGAGACTCCACGCACACAGGCTCTCACGCCTACTCAGACAGCCCACCGCACTTTTCAGACGCCCACCTCCAGCACACTCCCCTCCCCTAAAAGGCATTCACCCACTCACCAGCTGTAGCCTCTTCCGTCCCCCGCCCTCCCGCCAGGCTCCCCCTCTCCAAGTAGCAGACCCGCGGGCTAGGAAGCAGGGACCCCCGGCTGATGAGCTAGGGAGCGAGCGAGCGGCTAGGGAGGGAGCTTAGCACTGACCTCCGCTTGCCCTGCGTGCAGATTAACAAAGGAGGCGGCGAACCCCGGCCCGGCTGCCAGGAGCCAAAAGCTGGCCGCGGGGCCCGGAGCCTTTCCAGCCGGCAAGCGCGCGCACGGCGCTGGCTGCTCCGGAGTCACAGGCGACGGCGACTGGGCTCACAGATTCCCTCCGAAGCCGCGCTACTGGGACACCGGTCACACCATGGGCTGCTGCACCGGGCGCTGCTCGCTCATCTGTCTCTGCGCGTTGCAGCTGGTAAGTTCCCAGTTGAGTCCGGGGTTCTGGGATCAGTCTGTCCTCTCGGACCGGCTGGTGGAGGTGTCGCCTTGTATCTGCAGCTCAGGGCTAAAGATCAGTGAGCACACAGAACGTATTGGAGGGGTCCCCACCCTCGCTGTCCCATCCGGGATGCCTGCGCCTCCTGCCCAGTAGCTTTTGCCCGCAGGAGGGCGCGGTCTTACTTCTGGTCTGGTGCGCTGCGTCGCCGCCACGCGGTCCGAGGGCAGCTGGGGTGTCGCTCCGGGAGAGTGATTTCCCCGCCCCTCTGTCGGACACCTTGCGTGTGCACCCTCTGCACCCTCTGAAGTTATACTGGGACTCAGGATTAGCTCTTACCAGGACGGTTTTCAGGCGACAGAATGTTGTTTAGTTAGAAGGTGCTTGTGGACAGTCAGCTCCTGAGACCCGCAGAAGCCTCAGCTTTCCGGTGGTTCTCACTTTCAGCAGCTGGAAGGTGGCGGATGATTTGTCTAAGACTCCTGTGCTTGGGGACCGCAAGTTCAGTCTTTGACATACCAGTTCTGTTTTTGGTTTCCTTGAAATGTTGCAAATTCAGGCTGCCACCGGCTGACAGCTGTCTTGGGGAATGGACAGGGCTTCTCTTTACCTTGGCGCTTTGCCCAGGGAGTGAGTAGGGATCCGAAGTTGGAAACCAGGGTGGGAAGAAAAAAGACCTTTCTGGTTCTAGGCAAATACTCGGGATCCTTTTGTTATCGGGGCTGACGTTGGAGTTTTACATGGTCACCAGAAGTCAAGGCTGTAATCTCCTGCAGCACACTTTTGTTAGTGAGATTAACTTGCCCTCTGGGAAGCTTTGCTTGTCTTTTGTCACAAGCCAGGGGAGAAGCTTTCAGTGAATTTAAGGAAGGATTGTAGCTCTTGCAGGGCTCATTAACCCATTAACCGGGAGATGTAATAATGAGTTAGTTCTTGTTCCCTGGAGGGTCTTCCTGTTTTTTTTTTTTTTTTAACGTTTCCATTTTTCCAATTTTGCCAGTTTCTGCCCAAAGCTTCATTTTATATGAGCTAATTGTTCTATAATCCACGAAAAACAGATAAATTCATAAGCCTGTTGGGCAACCTATCTGCACTATTGGGAAACACGCACCAAATGTGTTTATTGTGTTTTCTTGAAATATATAAAATTTCACGTGAGCATTTTTTTTATGTTAGAGAAAAAAGTCAACGGACAACATATACAGTAATTTTTATAAATGAGCCTGGCTTTTAATTTAGAAAACTGAATAAATTCAGCCAACCCTTGGTTCTTATCTATTTGCATAAACGTGTGATTGTCTAATCATTGTAAACAATAAGAAGTCAGGGCCAAAAGTTATTCTTTGTAAACACTGTAAGTGTTTAGCACTCAACAGCAGAAACATAATTGCTGAATTTAAGACACTGTCTACATTTTCAGTCTATATAGCGTTTTCCCCATAGACATTCTTTTGACGCCTGAAATTATTCTCTGAGAGATACTCATTTCACTAATTTGCCTATGAGGAACTCATAAACTCATAACCCCCACTCCAGTTGTACTATGGTAGAGGCAGGGGGTGATTATAAGCATGTAAGAAAGCATGTAAGAACTACATCTTAAACAAAAGAAAGTGTATGTGTTGTCTCTGCTAGTTTCTATTGCTATGATAACACATACGACCAAAAGCTTACAACCCACATCACCGTCCATCATCAGCATCAGGGTGTGGACTCCAGGCTGGAAATCTGGGAACAGACACTGAAGCAGAAGTCAGGCTTCTTGTGTTTCTCCCTATGGTTTGTTCTTTTATACACACCCAGGACCACCAGCCTAGAGGTGTCACCACCCACAATGACCTGGACTCTCCCACATCAATCATCAATTAAGAATATGTACCATAGGTTGTCCACAGGCCAATCAGATGGGGTTATTTTTCTCACCTGAGATTTTTCTCTTCCCAAATGATTCTAGCTTGTGTTAAAGTTGAAAAAAAAAAAGCCAGCACACATTTTTCTATTACATTATTATGTCATACATGATAGCACTATTTATATAAAACATTTAGAGTTGAAAGTACATATAGCAGAATTTTTTTTGTTGTTTGACAAACTCTTGACTTCATAGTTTTGATATGAATACTGGTTAATATTTCTATTTGCTTTAAGGAGAAAGAAGACACTGAAACAATATTGGAATTTCATGAATGCTATGACTAGATTTTTTTCTGAACTGTGTAGTAATTTTCAGGCACTGAAAGATTTTTTATGAATTTTGTTTGACAATGTAGTGGTTACAGGCATTACACACGTGTAGTTTTAGTATGCATTATTGAAATATGTTTACTCACAAATTTGTTAAGACCATTGCTCAGTGTGCAATAAGTCACATCCCAACTTGTGACATTTTCCAATGTCATTGCTGTAAGTACTCCTACTTCAGCCAGTTACAAGCAAACTTTTATATAGTATTTCTAATATCCAGATATAGGAGGCATAAAGAACTTCAAAAGCACAGATAAAGAAGAATCTGGCAAAAATAATTATGAAGAAATGAAACTTAGATGTTTTAGTACTGTGTTTTGATTATGATTTCTTTAAATTTGTACAACTCAATTTACAATAATGGCGATGTTTGATAATGACCTCACAGAAATCTTGAGAATTTAAGAAATACACTCTCTGACCCCATGTTAGCCTTCTCCAGCATACCATGTGAAAGGAAAACAGCTTCACAGGCCTGCTGCATTTCCCAATGGAAGCAGCTCTCCTCTCTCCCTTTCACGTTCCCCTCTGCTCTGACCAGCTCTTGGAAGATGGGGTTATGAGACCTTAAGAAGTGCTGTTATGAAGAGAGGATGCCTTTTGCTGTTCAGACTTGATGCTGGGAATTCACAAAGCAACAGTGAGTCAGCTGCAAACTACCACATAGATATCCCAAGAGCTCCTCTTAAAAACCAAAGAAATGGAACCTTTTCTTAGTGATCTGATTCCATTTCGTCTGAACTTCATTCCCCCTTGAGTAGAAAAGCATCAGAGTGGGAACTCTAACTAGAGAGAACTTGCCATTTCTAGGTGACTCATGCTGATGAGCTTTGATTTGCAAACCTTGCTTTTCCTGCCCTTTGGGCTAGTTTCCATTCTTGTCTTTTCTCAATGCAAACATTTGTGCTTGCCCCCAACTCACATCTATTCTGATTTTGCCAGACCAGATTAAAGAGAAGGTGTAAAGAACGAAGACTGGAGCACAAGAACCTTTGTAAAGTGATTTTTCCTAGGAAAGATGATCTCTTACCCTTCCACTCATCTCTCAGGTCAAAGAACTTTTAATACATCTAATGGAAGGCCATTTTCGGTGCTGCGTGTTTGTATAATAGCAAGTGTTCTACTATCAGGTCTGTAGGGTCTAGAGCTAAAATGACCACCCAATCATATGTATGCTACATCAGCTTTAGTCACTGTATTTAAATGAGCCTGAATTGTGTGTTTTAAACTGTGCTATCGTCTCCACATGGAATTTCAGAAACATTTTTTTTTTCTGAGCTGCCTCAGGGAAGTGTTGAACACACTACAGAAGACATGGGTCCCGCAGAATGTTCTTCATTTTTCAGCATCACAGACATCAGACTCTAAGGCATGTTCAGTAAAACTTGACATGCCATTGTTTGAAGAACTTACTACATTTTGTATTCATTTATAGCGAGAGCTATATTTATTGCCAGAGCTGGTAATCAGCCCATTAAAACTCAAAAGTAAGCTGGCATGTTTATAGTCACAGAAACCCTAAGAGATTTACCTAAAGAAGCAGCTATTAACATATAGATAGGTCATATGTTATGTTTTAGAGAGCAATCTCCCCAGTTAAAGAAAATTAGCATCTATTTGCTGTCAGTGAAAGCAAAGTTTCAAGACTTTTATTCTGCCTTCCAGCTGTCTTGTGAGCAATGCACCTGCGATATTTGAATGCTCAAATAAATGAACGGTGGTGACATTATCTGTGGTCAGTTCTGAATTAAGCCCTGTGAAATACCCACACATCTCACAGAAATATCAGGCACCCAGTATGGAAGCACATTTCATTTATGATGCAGATATAATGATAATCTTGTTTTTACATGCTTTAATTTAAATAGCGATCTTTATTCTGTACACCATAATTCCTTTTTTAAGGATTATTTTATGTTAGGTGTATTGGTGCTCTGTCTGAATGCATACCTTGTGTACCTCGTACATACAACGCCTGCTGAGGCTAGAAGAGTGCATTCAATTTTCTAAAACTGGGGTTACAGAAGGTTTTTAACTGCCACAGGGATGTTGAACATTGAGCCCTTGTCCTCTGGAAGAATAGTCAGCCCCTCTTAACTGCTGAGCCAACTCTCCGGCCTAGCAGTCTGATTCCTAATTTTTGTCGTCTCTATTTCAATCTTCTGGTTCATCCAGTGAAACTTTAAAAAGATTAGGGAAATTAATTTATAGCTGATAATGAGACTTTTTGTCTGATCTGGAAATCACTTTGCATTATCCAAGGTTGAGGGATGACCTACACATCAAGTACAAAAGGATGGGCTGTGCTTTTACAAAATACAGGGCTGTAGGATGAGGTGGGTTAAGGACATGTGTGTGCATGTTTGTACATGTGTAGGGCAAGCAGAAGTGACTGGTGATACAAACGGTCATGTTTGGAAACTTTAAGATGCTGATTGCCGGATTTATGACTTTTGAACTCAGACAACAGACTAAGCCAAGTGGTCAGAATTAAGAATCATGGAGACTATTGATATTCTAAACTCCGGATTAGATTACCCTGGGAGAAATGGGAAAGAAGAATAAGAATATTAAACAGGGCTTCATATAGGGTAATCAGAGGACAAGAAAGGAACTAATCAAAGAGGAAGAAGAAAACAGCCAGATAGAAAAACCAAGCAAGAAACAAAATCAGCTCCCTAGACCTCATAAAACTTTTCCTCAACAAAACATAGACCGGACATTTCAAGATAGTA